AATCCTTTTGCCTTTAAGTTGGTTCAGGTCAGGTACATGACCACAACAATGGGAAAAGTAACTAACAGAAGTGAGGAAGTGACAATCCCTGCTGTCCAGAGCTCACAGCTCAGTCATTATGTGTTTCTGAGGGCAGGCTGGGCCTCTCCTAACTCCTCTTCCCACCCAGCAAAGAGTAGAGCTTAGGCAGCTGCAGTTTAAAAAAAAAATAATATGGTTGTGCATGCACGTGTGCGTGCATGTGTCTGTCTAGTTCTGAGTGGGCATCGAGGAGGACAGTCCTGTTCTGTTGTGGGACAAGGAATACAAGGGAATTAGGTCTTTCCTTTGTGTCCTCTAGAAGAACTCTATGTCTTCAGTCCTGCTCATAAATGCATCCTATTATGAAAATGTTTTGCGTGTTGCCTTTTTATTTTCACGTGTGTCTTAGACATCTTTCCATACCTGTGTGTGTGTGTCCCTGCCAGTGAGTGCACCTTATGTGTCCCATGGCTGACGTGTGGAGGTCAGAAGACAAGTCCTTCTGTCTCCCCACTGTGCACACTCTGATAGCTGCCCTTGAACTTCTGGAGACTGTCCTGTCTTCTTCCATCCTGCAGGAGTGCTGCGATTCCCAGTGCTCTCCACACTGTGCTCTTTAATATAAGTTTTAAAGATCTGAACTGGGGTCTCCAGGTTTCAGTGGTATTGTTGAAAATATAAGTTGCTAATAATGTTTATTGTTAAAATCTATAATTACTTGAATGGTTATTAATCCACTACCATATCCATAAAGGACACGGACACCTGATAGAATTTTAAATAAGCCTCATTTCATCTGGGGCTGGGCAGACATTACTCCCTAATCTACCTTCTTACCTCCTAGCCCCACATCCCTGTCATTTGCTTTAATCATTCCTATCTTGGCTACTTCCCATCCAGTATCACCATAAATACTTTCACATACTGAGAGACCAAAAAGATTAAAAATTAGCAGCCATTAGTTAAGGCCTGAACTATGTGGGTGGAGAAGTCTAGTAATGCCCTGAAGGAAAGGACAGCCTTACTGCATTCTTTCCCCACCCACTAGAGATAACAGTTGCTAGGAAACTGGCCCATCCCCCTAGGGAGGGACACCAGGTCATTAGGGTCTGGGGACCTTCCTATAGCCAATCGATTCAAAATGTAACATCTTGACCAATAGATGCTTGCCAGGCAGGAAATGCCCCTGCCTTGGGTATGCTGGGAGGGACCAGAATCTATAAATCACCCAACTAACCTGGGGACGTGCGCTCAGCTCCCACTGCTTCGGCAGTGGGGCTGTGTAGGCCCAAGCTGCAGCTTGTAATTTACAATAAAAAGACCCTCATGTGTTTTGCAACGGAGTCGATTCCTGTAGATCTTTTGGGGGCTTGAGAACTGGGTATAACGATACTTTCCATCTGGGCAGCAGGGTTCACTCCCCCATCCCATGTGGTTCTTTATCTCTCCCTAGGCGATTCTGCTTCTTCTTTTCTGCTCCACCTGCCTCTCTCCTTCCCATGTTCCTTCTGTCCCCAAAGCCTCTGAACTTTGGCTACGCCTTCCTCATTCTTACCCTATCCAGGTGCGTGGGCATTTATTCAGCCAATCAGGCATAATTTGGAGACAAAAATTACAGATATCCTTTTGCGGTACATGAGTCTCTGCTCATAAAAGATAGCGAGCCCACCTCGGGGGCGGGGAGGAATAATTAACCATCAAACACAAAGCAGGAGACCGTGGTCTCACAGTTGCAAGTGCTTCTACCCACAGCCCAGTCTCCACAGCCTAGACCTCCTTTGGGACTTACTAATTTACATAAGAATTTGTCTTAAGCCATAGAACAATCATAAGTACCAAGGACTGTCAAAGACACCTAAAACCTGAAGGGCAGATAGGACGAGGGTGGCTGCTGGTTTTAGATTTTTTCAGAACTTTCTCCAAACTCCCCTTCCACTATTTTCTTCCTCTATATTTTAGCAAAGGCTGTTGCATGGCTCCTGCACCTTCCCAGAAAGAAGAAGCCTTCAGGGACTGAGATCCACTCCTAGTCCTGGTTTGCAAAAGCCAAAGAAGAGGAAAAGATTTCCTGCAAGCTGCTGAAGGTGAAGAGCCATGGCTGACATCATAGAAGTCCCCTTTTCTCCTTTTCTGCTTGACAATCACATGTTGGAAACAATTCCAATGTGATATGAAAAACAAGCCAAAGGCCACCAGGATTTTTCCTTAGCTACCTGTAAGTACTTGTGCATTCCTGACATGCTCCATGCACTCTGGCGGAGCTATGATGCTTCTCTAGACTGTGGAATCTGTTTACTGAGTTGCAAACGTCATAGTCTTTAGGAAATCTTTACTGAAATTGTCACACAGAGAGTGCATCAGTGACCAACGCCCTGCATCACAGATGCTTCATCTTGGTATGGGCTGGGCCTGAGTTAGAGGCACCTAAGAGGGGCCATTTAAGAGATGATTCCTTGAAGGGCAGAGGATTAAGCACCCGCTGTGCCTTCTCTGCTGCAAAGGGCTGTGTCCTCTCAAACTGTGAGTCTACATAACCCTTCCTATTTGCTTTTGTAAAGTATTTTGTCACAGAACTGAGAAAGAGTGAGGAGAAGGATCATCATGCTTGTTCACAGAATGAGCACATCTGAGTGGGCCATTCTTTTTAAGAATTAGAACTGTTGCCATACTTCAAGGTCTCTGTGTGCCTTCTTTCAGGCCCAACATTCTACCTCTCCTCAAAAGACAACCCTGGGTCAGGCATGGTGGTGCACACTTTTAATCCCAGGACTCAGGAGGGGGAGGCAGGTGGCTCTTTGCAAGTTTGAGGACAGCCTGGTCCACACAGTGGGTTCTGGTCCAGCCATAGATGTATAATAAGACTCCATCATGAAAAAACAAAACAAACAAAAAAACAAACAAACAAACAAAAAAGCCCACAATACACACACAGCAGAGAAAAGCATGACTCATTTCTTCAAGATGTGCTCCAGCTCAGTCTAATTGTATGGGCTCAGCCATAGTTCATGGTCCTTCTGTCTTGTTCTTTCACTCTGCTCTTTATTTTCAAATTTATCCGTCTTGTACTTTGTTCACCCTTTTTGCTACAAAGGCTCTTCTGCCTGCACAGTACAATTCACTAATCATTCTGTTGTAACCAAGAATTAACTGATAGTTGGGGGTATTATGCTAAAGATATCCTTGCATGTCTTTGATCTGAAGGGACATGGGTATGTGCTAGATATGGGTGATGTTTTCACAGAATCCCTGGCTGATAAGAGTCATATGTCCACCTCATTGCACATAATATGCATATCCTGTTCGGCCTTAGGGTTCAGGAAGGGTCCTGGCTATGTGACATTCTTCCTCCTGACTGGTAGTGTCATTGTTAAACATTTATTTCCTTTGGTTGTATATTAATTTCCTGTGTCCAGAGCCTGGGGTTGTTAAACACATTTTGAAATGCCTCTTTGACATTGGGGTTGTCTCTTTTGTGATATGTCTGTTCAGAAACAATTGTCAGTTTCATTTTCACATTTGATTGATTTGTTGAAAATTCCCTTTCAGATTAACTAACTAACTTACTAACTATTTCTTATGTGTGTATGGGGTATGTGTGTGTAAGCAGGGGTGTGAGTACATAGTGTGCATGCAGAGGTGGAAGAACAATGCTCACATTTGGCTTTTCCTTCCAACATGGGATCCTGGGACTGAACTCAGGCCACCAGGCTTGGGGCAAAGTGGCTTTCCCTGCTGAGTCAGCATCCTGGTCAGCCTTCTGCGTTTTGTTGGTTGAATGTGTGGGAAATGTCTTTCTTTGATTTTTGTCCTTTTCGCCATCATTATGGGTCTAGGTATTTTGTCACAGCAGTAAGAAAAATTAACTAATAGAAACACAGCAATTTTTTTGTAGAAAGGGTACATCTAAAAGGGCCACTCCTCTATGTGTTGTTGTTGTTTTTAAAATAAATACAATGTAGAACCATTTAAAGAGGAGACCGAGTCTAGTTTCTTGAAGTTTAATCTCTCACTGCTCCTTCTCTTCCTTTCCTCCTTTCTCTGTTTGTCTCTCTATTTCTGTCTCTGTCTGTCTGTCTGTCTGTCTCTCTTTCTTTAGCTCTCTCCCTCTCTCTCCGTGCACTTGCTGAACTATCGAAGTCCGAAGGCGTCCCTCCTTGCTGACTCACTGAATGCATACACCTCTCAGTGACGGTTTCAGCAGGGGTGGAGGTGGGAAGTGCCTGGGAGAAGATATCCATCAGCCGTGTTGGATGGCCACCATTGTCAATTAGCAGAGTTTGATCGCCGCCATTGCCGATTAGCAGAGTTGAATGGCCATCACTGTTAATCAGCGGGGTTCGATGGGTGCCACTGAGTCTTTTAAAATCCTCACTCAGTTCAGATCTGGGGCTGGAAATAGGCCTTTCTGGTGGACTGCTGCTATGAAGGTTCTCATCTTGCTGGCTTTGCTTGACTATGGTGAAGTGCACTGTGGATATCTCATACTTCTGCTGAGTGAGTCTATTTACAACAGAGTCAGAGTCAGGACCCTGCCATCTCATGGGGACTGGGCCTGAAAAAGCAGGTTTGGTTCCAGGCCCCAGACTGCCTACCAAGAACTACTAAGAAGCAATACCTTTCACACTGATGGCCGAGAATTACCAAGGAGGAGCACCCTTCACACTGGCAGCACAGTAAGGGCTTAGGGGCAACCTTCTCTGGCCAGTTGCACAGCAGTCCTTCTGAGATCATCAGGGTTTTGATTGCTGAGCTCCCAAACAATGGCTCTCACGTTAGACTAGAACATTTTCTCCAGTGGCTCAGCTCCATGCAGCCCTGCTGAACACTGGGTTATCTTGAGCTGAAAATATCCATAACTTGGTTGAGTTTAACGCCATACTCCAAGATGTGTCTCCTGGGTGAGCTCACTTCTAGCAAACTCCCTATGTAGAGAGACTATAACAAACCAAAGAGAAACTAACACAGAGTCTTAGGCTATGTGCAAAACATTTTAATACGTAGAACATGTTACCATACCTTAGAGCGATGCCTGAAAACACAGTGTAATTCTACAGGGAGATACATATATTCCCGAACACCGAACCTCACTCAAGGCTTGCATGATTGTTCATTGTCCAATAATAGCTTATCAAACAGTACCCGTATATCAGGAGGGTAGGGCATGAGCTGCATTATTGCTGGAAGGAATCTACTGCTGCTGCTTTGATTGGCTGTTTATCTATGCAACTATTAGACCCAAACTCCAGTGCAGATCAAACTCAAGCCCATTTTCTTTTTCTTTTTTTTTTTTTCTAGATAATTTTGCCAAATAACACCAGGCAGCTTCCAGCTTAAAACAGTCTAAGATTTTGTCATTTAACACTGTATAATGGAGAGGCCAAGGGCTTGAAAATCAGTATGGGGTGCCCTACCCCTCCAAAGTTCTTAAGTAAATCCCAGTTTACCATATAATTACTCCAGTCAACCACTCATCTGACACAAGGTACCTCTCTGTAACATTTAACAAATGTCAATTAGATCACTCCTCACTTTACCAGTAAAGAGAGAATGTTTCACAAAATGAACACTCAGACTTAACACTGAAAAGGTAATCCAAGTTTGACTTATACAATGATGATAAAATGTAATTCTTCCCTTTAAGAAGAGAGGAGTTTTGAAAATTTTAAGCATAGAGATCTTACACATCCTGTGAGCGTACAAGGGGTTAGGAGGGGAATTGTTTTATTGGGGGTGCACTTAGAATGGCTCACTTCCCAAGTGTACTCTCTTCATATTGTTCTTTTCTTGGGGGAGAGGGTTGGTCACGTTCCCCCAGCTAGAAGAAAATATATGCTGACTCAAAAGAGTGTACTGCACCTTCAAATTTGTGCTCCTGTCATGTGACCAAGTGGGACCTAACTAAAAATCATCAAAAATCTGAAGGGAAATGTGTCTCAACTTTCTCTCAAAAATATCTGTATAGGAGTTGGGTAATGTACAAGTGTGATCTCCAGCACTTAGGAAGCTAAGACAGGGATTATCATGAGATCAGGGCCAGCCTGGACCACATAGTTCATTATAGATTCGAGCAAAAATAGGTAAACAACCACACTAACAAACAAAATAGAAAACACAGAACAACTTGACCTCTTTGATGAGACAACAGCATTTTTTTGCATTTTAGTGACCTAAGTGATATATGAACATCTTTTTCAAGAAAAAAATGCCTAAAATTCCAGTTCCTTAGAAAAATTCTTGGTATTAATACAAGCACACACACAACAACAACAACAACCCGCCCAAACCAAGCAAACAATGAAGGAACTGAACCAAAATTCACCAACTCCTAAAAGACCCTGAAACAAAATTTCTGAAATGCTTAATGAAACCCAGCATCTCGGTGCCCTCTAGTGGCAGCAGTGAAATAGCAGGGGAGTTAGGCGAAACAAAAATTCCCATGATGTTGCCCTTTGATAGGAAGTTATTAATTTCCAAACAGTGAGGTGCTCTCTATGTTTGACAAACTCATGCAATTCTTCCACAGAAAGAAGACTGTGACTAAGTCACATTCTCTCTTCTGTCTTTGTGGTGTAGAGAAGGAACTAGTTTTTCTCATTTGCCCTAGACTCGTTCTTATTTCAGAGTTTGTCAAGAAGTATGCCAAGGAGCCACAGATGCATTTATGCCAAGCCAGTCAGATTTTGTGTCCTGGACAGAGTCCTTTCCACCTATGCTTCCATGGCTCATGGATGGGAAACACAGCCACTGTTGTTTTTCAGAAAAGTGAGACAACCTTTTACTCAAGCTCCTATTTTAGCATGACAGCCTCAGGAAGCCTCAATACCAAGGAGACCATGCCACTAGTGGTACAGTGTATCTTGGTTTTGTCAGGAACCTTGAAGGAGTTTGGTGCAGTGTAGAGCAGCTGTCCTTGAAGCAGCATCAGGTCCTGGGGCCATGGACAGCACATACTTGGAGGTAACTCTTCCCACACGCTCTCTGCAAATGAGTAAGATCCTTATTTCTGTCTCTGTGAGATATGCATTCGTTCCATACTTCCGAGTTTAAAAAAAAGTCCAAGATTCCAAGGCAGAAAAGCATCAGAATAGGCAGCAGTAATTGAAGGACACATTTTGTGATCTTTCCTGGTGACAAAACTGGCAAATTTAGTAGAAAACAGCTTATTTTCTTAGGTGGAAAAGGAAAAAAAAGGAAACATGAAATTCACAGTAAATTAAAAAAAAATCACAAAAACAATTCAAATACAAATTAAGTGTTGGTTCTTTGGGACCACTGAACCTTGTTCCTCTGTGGAATGAGCTCTATCCCTGTGCACAAGGAAATCATCTGTTGTATAAGCTGCCCTAGAATGGCTTTGCTTTTCTTAGTTTGGTTGAACTGAGGAAAAACAGACGGCATTCTCAATAACAACAATCCACAGGCAGCCGGAAGATGTGGGATGGTGGAGGACAGCCTCACAGGCACCTTCCTGTAACTGGTTAGAGTCACCAAGTCTCAGCCTCACCAGTCCAGCTGCAGGTCCGCCTTACTCCATACATACTTCCCTCCACGTCTCAGAAACATCTTTTCATCAAATCCACTGAATTTTATCGCTTCTTCCACGCCAACATCCAGGATGGACCTGGAAGGGTCCTTCCGGCCCCCAGTACAGTTGAGAAAGCGCATCTGGGGAATACAAGGTAGAGATAAGTATGTTCCCATACGGTTTATCCTGTGAAGCTCAGCTGAGGGTATCCTTTTAGAAAATATTTCTCATATCCCAACCAAGTCAAGTGTTATTGATATCTAAGAGAGCCCCTAAAAGATAGCCCCTAAAATCCTCGGGCTCCACTGCCAACTCACACAACTAACACCCGTGGAGAGGGCGGCTTGAACTATGTAGGGGCAGCCCAGGGTCATGAACAGAACAGTCTTACGACTTGGCCCTCTGTTGAAGTGGAGAGGACATTCAGAGCATCCTCTAAATGTGCATGTCCAGATTTGTTTAGACATTGTGCACCGAGGTAACTGAGGGGGCAGAGCAGAGTGAAGTGGCAGCAGCGCTGCAGTGTGAGGAAGCTCAGCTGAATGACCTTGGTAAATTGGTACCTGTGTGGGATGTGAATCCTCACACAGGCTTCTCCTGAAAGGAGCAGGGGATAAGACAGAAGCTGCTGAGGTGAGTAAGGGCTGGCACAAGGACGAAAGTTCCCCCAACACATTCTATCCATTTGTTTTCCTCTGACCCTCTCCTTCCCAGCGTTGTGGGCAGGAATGAGGTCTTCATACTTGTGTGTCTCTACACTAAACATTCTGAGAGGATCAGGGGAACACACTGAGTCATAAAAAAATAAAAAATCAAAATAAATTTTGATTCTTCCATGTTTGTTCCAACTATGTGGAGATCACATGGTTTACTGAAGAGCATGGCTCAAAATTTCCAGCTAATCATGAGAGTTTATATTCCAAAATAATTTTCATTGTCCTCATTAGATCCATAAACTGAGCATTACTATGGTCATTTCCCCCTTTTCACTGCATAAAATTTATGTCGACAATAAATACAATTGCTGTAATTTATTGTTGATTAATTTGTTTGATTAACAAAATACAAAAGTTTTAAAGAAATACTACTCAAAAGGCCAGGGTCAATGCTGTGATCTTTGTCCTTTTTGTAGCTCTTTTTTTAAAAAAGGCACAGCCTGGAAAGGAATTGTCTGTTCTTTGCTGAGAATATCAGCAGAAGTTATAAATCTGAACATTCTAAATAATAATAACAAAGAAAAGGGAAGCAACTGTGTTTTTTTTTTTTTTTCCTTTTTTTAAAATAAGGGCGGGTTTTCCTTTGGAAGCAATGGTCCTGGAGATAATATTAATGATGTCTGAAGGGGACAATGAGACTTCCTCCCATTGTCAAGGTTCATCTGCGGTGGAAGTGTTCGAAGCCCCTGGATTATCCAAGCCAGTGTGCAGTAGAGGTGACAGTGCAGAACCCTCAGATCCAGGCCAGGCCACACAGGGGAGGCCTCTACTTGTGTGTGACATCTGCAGATGCATGGCTCCCTGGGGTGCCATCTCCTGGTGGCTAATGCCAGTCCAGTGCCCTGGGATGTGCTGAGAGGGAACTCGGCATGTGAAGGCAGGGCTGTACCATGCTGACAATAAAGCCAGCAGAGGAACACCGGGCATAACAGATGTGCTCTGAATGTGCTCATTTCAGCACATCACACTGCCGCACCACTAGCTTTCCAGTGACTTCATAATTCATGGGGAATACTCACATATTCATCCAGAATAAGGTAGGAGTCTTTCATCTGCAGTAGAAAAAAAAGAATCACAATTTAGTTTTCATACAACACACACTGTTTGTTCCATATACCTCACTGGCTGTCCCTCCAAAGGTGTGTGTGTGTGTGTGGTGTGTGTTTGTGTGTGTGTATGTGTGTGTCTGTGTGTGTGTGTGTCTGTGTGTGTTGCCTTTTATGTTTCCCACATTCTCCATCTACTTGCAGGCCTTTGAGTGGCCCTCAGCAGTGGAGGGACTACAGGGTCCAGTTCTTCCAGTAATTCTGGATTTTGTGCCTCAGACCAAAAGAATTCTACCCCTCAGGCTGCTTCCAGTGCCCTGGCTTCTTTCACCCCTCCAGCTATTTCCAGGAGAGCTGTTGTCATCTCTCAGTTCCCACCAGGTGGCCACCCTTCAAGGAATCTCCCAGGTTTTCAATGCTTGCTCAAATCATGTTCTCTGGAAAGACCAGTGTTTCTGAAGCCCCAGGTCCTTCTGTGATCTGACTCGAGGTGGATTCGCATTCTTGGGTGTATTGGGCATTGCTGAACTGTCTGTAGGGAAGTTTTGACAACCTTTTCTACCCCTAATAAAAGCTAGGCAGTAAATAATATAATTTCTCTTTCTTCCAGCTTCCTTCTATCTTTCTTCCCCCTCCTTTCCCTTTTCTTCACCTTCCTTCCTTTCCTCTTCTTCCTCTTTTTCTCCCCCCGTTCCATATCCCCTCCTTTTGACAGGTCATCAGTTGGCCTAGGATGACCTCAACCTTACTACATAGCCAAGGATGTCCTTGAGTTTTTAGTTCTCCTGAATGCTGGATTACAGACTTGCAGTGACAGTTTTTAGCTATGCTGGAGGATCAAACCCAGAGATTCCAGAGCACTAGGCAGGCATTTTCCCAAGTAAGACACATCTCTAGATCAGTTAAAATTTCTGGATATGCAGGGCACATAGTCTGTGGTCCCAGTTACCCAGCTCTGCACCACACTGTGAAAGCCACCATCACCATCAAAACAACAACAACAAATAAACAAGCAAGCAAGCAAGCAAGCAAACAAACAAATGCAAAACACAAATAAAATAATAAAAGAATGTAGCACAACCCTGCTCCTTGGCAACTTCATATGTAGAGCCTGAGAATTGCAAGCCATTTTTTTCTGCATTTTATCCAACTTGCAAAGAATAGAGAGGGTGATAATCAGTAGAGAGGGTGACACCAACATGGAAGCAATCATAACTTTCTTCAGTGTTTGAGTACTACCCACATGCTTTCCACACACGTAGAGTTTGTGTGTGTGTGTGTGTTAATTTTATATTAGAGCTATACATATGATTATACATTTAATCATACCATCTCTGAGGTGGTCTAGTCAAACACATTCTTGGGTAGAAAAGAAATCAATGTCATTGAAGAACCCCACCCCCAGATGACAGGTGGCCGTGACTCTCCTCTATCTCTTTGGTTCTAGGATTGTACTCCTCGCTCTTTCTTCTTCCAGAATGTCTAGAATAATAACATAGCAATTGCAAAGCTCCCAGGAGAGAGAGTCACCACTTTCCCCACTTAGAATCAGTGTAGATTTGTGGTAGTGAACAAGGCAGCTTTTGCTGCATACAACCTTCTGATTAGATTCAGGCACCAAACAGGACACGTCTTTGTGACGCTCTAAGAATGCTTCAAATTCTTCATTGCTTATCAGAAATCTTTCTGCTTCCCTCAGGGCATCTTCTCCGGAGTTCTCACCCTCAATCAGAAGGCACTGGAAAACCTGGGAGAAGATAAAGCATGTGTAAGGTGAGAGCCTTCCACCATCATTCAATACAAGCCTACAGGGAACAAAAAATCCTTCTCAAGTGGTTACTCCACCCAGTTCAGGATGAGCGAGCTCAGAATACAATTGCTAGTTGCTGCTAAATCTTTGAGGGCTTAGAATATGAGGCTCTGAGCCACAAGTAATAGAGCTAACAAAGTAAATATGCTTTCCCTTGGAATGTTGCTTACATCAGTAAAGAGCCCACAGGTATCAGAGATTTCTAAGAATAAACAGGACCTGACCCTTGCCACTGAGAGCCATTATCTTGAAATGACTGATCAGGTATCCTGAGTAGGATGCAGAAGATTTGTAGAAAAATACTCATGAGAGAAGAGCAATCTAAAGCAAGGAGAGAAATGTATATGTGAATTTTAAGAATAAGAGGGTGAAAGGAGGATAGTGAGGGGCACGAAGAGTCAGAGTAGGGCTGAGTTGAGGGAGAAAAAAAGGTGAGCAGCATAACAGGTGATCAAGAGGGGCAGGTCTTAGGTCTCTGGGCTCCTCTATCAAAGTTCTCTGCTTCTCTATTGGCCAGTCTTGGCTCTTTTTACCATCCATATTTCTTTAGCTATTTCCCATTTATTCCATGTCTGAGGATGTGCTGACATTCTATTTCAATACACCTAATTAAAAAAAAAAATCTTTAAAGTATATAGCATTTTTAGCTTCCCCCAAGCTTATTTCCAAACATATTACAGTACAATCAAAGGAAAAATTATATCATATCTTTATCTCCCTCTGTCTTGGCATACTTTGTATCTAAGGAAGATCAAAGGTGACCTTGAGATGTCAGCTTTCCTTAAGTGAGCATGACTCTGGTCTTGCTGGGACCCTTTTGACTGGTCAGCCCCACATGTGGAAATTCTTCCCTGCTTTCAAAATATAGTCAATTGGCAACTTCCGTGATGTTTTACAGTTCATCTTGATATATACTCCACTTTCCCATGTTCTACACATACAAGTGTGATGGAACATGGAACATGCACGTTATATTCCATGACAAAAATCAACTCCCAAATCTTATTCCCAGGTGTGTCCGCTCTGCATCCAGGCACAGAGTCAAAGCAGCTCCATAGGAGTCACCATGCAGCTTGTTAAATAGTTATGCCCATGCCAACCATTCTGACCAGGCCTGCTCTTACTGGATGGACATTAGTGGATGCAGGAGTTCAAGAAGCTGCTTTCTTAGGAGCCCCCTTGGTGGGTTCTGAACAGCCAGGGGTAGAAAATTTGAATTTGCAGTGAATTTCTGCTGTACATTGTGGATCCTATCTATGATAGGCTGACTTGTATCCTGTGAGCCAGAGCCTTCCAGTGGCTGCTGTTTGGGCCAGTCCTAAGGAATTTATTTTGGAACAAAGGCTGACATTGCTCTATAGACTCCCCTGTCACCATGCAATTCAATGGAAACTCAAGAGCCTCAGAATTTAAGAACATCTAGGCCCAACAATAACATGACAGGAATGGGGGAAAATGTTCTTTTATTGAAAATTTACTCTTCAGAACATCTCCAAGCACTGAACATGACCTTGACCTTCACTCTCAGAAAATTCCTGAAGAAAATCATTTCAAGATTTGGAAACAGAATATGAATCAAAGAATACTGAGGATTCAAACTTAAGAGAGAGAAGAGCCAAGGTCATGGATAGTTAATTCCAACATCCTGGGTGTTTCTGTTGTTTTAGTGTCACTGATCCAAGCTTCTCCTGAAAGTTTTGTAGACTGAAGCCAAATATGTCCTAGTGTAGACTCACCTTCCAGCGGACAGGACTCAGAGCCTTGATGTGCTCATTCATGTCTTCGTCCACATTAAAGCGATTAATGACAGAATTGATCTTGAAAGCCACCTTGTAATCCCTGCACCACTTCCGCAGCTTTTGAAGGTTTTCCACATGGTTCTTCTTTCCTTGACCACGGCCAATGAGAACGTTAACCTGCTCATTGAAGCTGTCACAGGAGATAGCAAGAATGTCCAAATACTCTCCTGCAGGAAAATGATGATGATGATGATGATGATGATGATGATGATGATAATAATAATAATAATAATAACAGTAATAATAATAATAATTTTCCCTGAGACCCTCAAATTCATTTACATCTCTTTACAGTAAAGGTTGTCTTCCTGGTTGTGTTTTAAAGAATTTTGTGATTCGCTGTCTCATTGGGGATGTGAATTACACATATTATGTATATTATCATTAAAATTCATGCACGCTTAATGAAAGCATGAGAGCTACTTAAGGTGATCAGCTTTAACTGCATATAGGTATGTGCATGAGTAATCACTGGAATACTTTAATCAGGTTTTTGCACTTGTTTCATTATAGAGAGTATATGAATTATGAAGCCTATTCCTTTCAATTATGAACAATTTGCTTTGCCCAGCACACAGACAAAATTGCATCATAGGTGATATCTAGTGTTTTTTGCCAGGTTTGTGAGCTTCCTTTTCATATGCCTTGTACATTTTGTTTACTATGCATATATTTTTCAGACACTCCATGCTATGTCAGGTACAACTGCTCTAGAGGCTGAGAAAACCAAGATAAAGAGGAGCTGGGTGTAGGTACCATGGTACAAACAGGCTCCACCCTGCAAAGCCATGAGTTAAGAGTTCTGATAAGGAGTCCTTTGAAGAGCTCAGAAAATATTGAAAATTATCTTCGTTTTGGGGCTCTCTTCACTGGTTTCTGCAGGTTTTCCTCTCTGTTTCTTGTGACCTCTCTCTCTTCCTTCCCTGCTCCCTGCTTTTCCCTTTCTGAGAAGAGTAGGCATCCTCAAAGTTGAGACATTACTTGCAGCTAAGCAAGGTGAGGTCTCCTGGTTATTGAGAATTTCCAAAATTTTCTATTTTATCTTAAAAATCCTTTTGACATTACCGAGAATCTAAGAGTTCTAGAATTTCTTTTGGATACTATTCTCTTTAATCATGAAAAGACTAATTTTAGCTTCTTTTTTAGGCTTAATTCATGGTGATCTGTATTTAAGAAGCACAAACCAGAACCAGAGTAAGGCTGTTATTTGAAACAACTTAAAGTATTCCAAATCTGGTTCTCAAGTAAATTCCTGAAGGGATATCATACCAGGATGAGACAACTGGACATATAGTCTCTAACAAAGGGAAAACAGACGTTCGAAATCAAACACATAAAACCAGTCTCTTCCAGGAGCACTGTGGCTGACTGATTTAGACGTGCTGAGCAGATAGATATCTGTGAGTCCATCACTGAATCCTGACACCTCTCTATGCTTGTTTCGGCAATGTCTCCTCCTCCTGATCACAGTTCTTGGGAGGAATGGCTTGACAGAGCCCATCTGTTAACTCAGTCCTTACATTTTTCCAGAAGCTCTGGGGCTCCGGTGGGGTACTGTGTATTTCTTGCACTTATGGCTGCTGCAACAGCTTGTGTAACCACTGTGGGTGATGTTTGTAAGCTCCAGCCATCGGAACATGTGTCAAGATTGTGTCAGACAGATGTGTGATGTGCCTGGGGTCCCAGTGGCCACACACTTAACAATATGTGCCTGAGTGACCAGTACTTTATGACACTCTCTGATCCAAGACCTAAGTGAGGTTTCTGTGTGAAAAGAACCCCAACATTGCCTGAGGTTTGCTGCTCGAAAGAATGCTGAACTTGTGTAGGTTCAGTTAGAGATAGCTTAGGACCAGATGTCCTGTCCAGACACAGTGGTTCATGCCTGTGCCCTGCTGTTGTTTGCTCTGTATTTGCTCTCACTGCAAGGTTCTTGCCAAACTCCTAACTGGAGGGGTTGTAAGCCTGTGACCAGCTTTTCCTCATGCACGTAGATCCAATTTCAAGTTATTTGCAGACATTCTTAATTAACATATTTAACACAGAATATTGTTTTATGTGCCCTGGGTAATTTGAGGATATGGCAAGTTTCCGTCTAGTATAAAAGTCAATTAACATTTGTAACTGGCAGCTACCTGACTGTTATGAAGAGGGCGTCACATATGGCATTTACAGTATGTGTGTTCCTTCCTCTCTAGGCAATGATGCCGGGTTACATCACCATTTCCGGGTGGCCAGTCTCTGACATGTACTGCAGAGATCCTCCTGTCCACACCCCTTGCCACGGGTACAGATATTTTGAGCCTATCCTACAGGAAGGGTGTTTCCCAGGGCCACTCCCTAAAACACAGTCCACTGCTGTCTATTCACGCTGATTCTGTCATCTCCTTTCTGTCTCACTTGGTACCTCCCACTGGTCCCCATGCAGTGCCTCCCTTCACAGAAGCCTGGTTTAATATACTACCTGGTTTAATGCACTACCCAGGATTCTTCCTCCAGTCACTGTGTCATTGTTCCTGCTTCTAAAAAATCCTCCTTGCCTGTCCAAACTTCATAGACAACCTCACCCACAAGCACAGCCTCTGCCGGCAGGCATCCCTGCAGAAGCATTCTGTGAAGTTACCAACCAAAAGTACCAGCTTTCCCTTTGAATTACTCTAGAGCCCCATAGGGTCACAAAGCAAGGGCAGGGAAAGGAACTCTGGTGGGAGGGTTAGAACTGACTTCTAAACAGAAAGTAGTCATAACTGAACACATTTTCAGGAGCTGCCCTGTGCCGTGTATTCCTCTAACAACATGACAAGTGCTGACAACTCAATCATTGGCATTCTCAGAAAATCTTCAGAGCCCTGAATTCAGCCAGGCCACGTGATATGGTGATACGAGATTCTGATGTGACTGGATTTGCAATCAGCTTAGACCTAACAGGGATTAAAAATAAAAAAGTCTTACTAGATAATCCTGGCTGACCTAGAACTCCCTATATAGATCAGGCTGGCCTTGAACTCACAGAGATCCATTTGTCTCTGCTTCCTGAATTCTGTGATTAAAGGCATTCACTACCATGACCTCTGTCTAACAGAGACATTAACATAGTCGTAGAGTGTGTTGCTTTTCTTCAGTAATGGCTAAACTTAGGCACTAGTTATCCATGTCTGCTAAATTAGAAGGGTGTGGCAAAGGGCTGTGCGCTGGCCCGTTCTGTTATCTGTTTCTCCATACTTGCTTATTTAGCACCCAAAAGAAACAAAATAACCCAGCCTCATACACAAATTATACATACATACATAGGACATGTTAGAAGTGAACAAGTTCAAATTACATTTTCTTTCCTCCCAATTCCCCCAACGCTTTGGCCTGGAGCCCAGGGGGAATGGAAATGCAGGAGTCAACAGTATGAGTTGCAGTGTCCAAGGTGTCATCCAAGGAAGCTTACCATAGTCCTTGAACCACCTCTCCCGGACGAGGCTGCCATTGCTCACTATGCTCACGGAGGGTAGGGCTAGCTCTTCCTTGCAGAACTTCACAAGCTTGCCCACATATTCACCCCTGTCCTGCAGGAAGGGCTCTCCTCCTGAAAAGTTGACCTTCTCCATACCTGTGAGGGGTAAAAAAAAATACCCTGCACTTTTGCACTTTTCAAACACCTGTTTCATTACTTATATTTCTATATTATAAATACATATATTGTTTGTGTTATGTTTATATTTATAATATATAATATCATACGTTATATCATATTTCCAAACACCGTTCATTATTGGTTTATGGGGCTGAAGAGGTAGCTCAGCAGTGAAGAGTGTTTGTTGTTCTTTCAGAGGACCAGAGTTTAGTTCTCAGCACCCACCTTCAGCAGATCACAATTCCCTATGTCTCTGGGGACATCAACAAATGCACTCGAGTGCACACACATGCACTCACGCACTCACGCACGCACATACACACACACACACGCGCACACACACACGCATATACATACTTAAAAATAAACCTTATCATTTTTTGTTTTTTAATTGTGTGTGTGCGTGCATGTGCGTGTGTGTGTGTGTGTGTGTGTGTGTGTGTGTGTGTGCGTGCGTGTGTATGCATGTGTGTAATGAGATCATAATGGCTGTGATGTCAGGACTCAGAGCCTGTGGCTCTGCCAAACAGCTTACATGAGTGGGCAGGTGAATCCAAAAGCTGCATTTTAAGGAGAAACCATGCTTTCAGTTAGGAAAGCAGAGGCTGTGGCTACATTACTAAGACCAGACTTTGATGTAGGTCCCAGTGAGGTAGCAAGGCTCACGTCTTTACTGTGGGTAATGAGCCAGGATAGCCTGGAGCTGAGTGAGTCAGCTGAGATCCTACTGAGCAGTGCTTTGTACTGTATGGTTTCATTATCACAGGCCAGCCTAACGTGAGTATCAGAAATCCAGTTGGGAGTCCCACGGGGTCAGTGTGGTGGCTAGAGGCCAGTGTGCACCTGGAGCACTGGCCAATAATTCTCTCTTTCCCCTGCTGTGCTCCAGGGAGACCTCTTGGCAGAGTGAGTCATCTGGAAGTGTAGTTAGCACGCTTGGCACTTAGACATGTCTGTTGCGCTTCAGTCAAAGAGTGAGCAGAAAGAGAAGGCAGTCCGTCGGTGAGTAGGTGCTCTGGAAAGACTAGAAAAGAGGAAGGAAGGAGGGGAGGAAGGAAGGAGAGGAGGAAGGAAGGGCAGGCTTGGAGAAGTTTCTGCATTTGAACTTCACTGCTGAATTGCTACCTGAAAATGATTGCTGGAGTGGGACAGCAAATCTTGGGAGAAAAATCCCATGATGTGCCTGCCAAAAATTATTTTAAGGCTCATATGGGGCTAGAGAGGTGGCTCAGTGTGTGATACACAGCTCTGAGAACTTGTGTTCTAAGCCCCAGTACCTGAGTAAACCTGAACATGTTAGTGAGAGTGAAATGTCAGCTCTCTTACTCCGAGATGAGAAGAGAAGACAGGAGAATCTGTGAGCCTTAAATGTTAATCAACATTGCAATATCAGCAGTGAACCACAGAGAAACCCTGTCTAAGATCAGATTAACACCTGAAGTTGTCCTTTGATGTTCACAGGCTTGCTATGCCAAGCAGGTGACCAGACTAGCACACAAGCACGAGTACGCGCGCTCGCGCGCACACACACACACACACACACACACACACACACACACACACACACGATGTGAATACACAGATTTTTTTTTTTTTTTAAAGAAAGAGAAAAGTTTCCAACAAGGAATACAGATGGAACAGGGTGAAGCTTCTGCCAGGCTGTTCACATGGAGGACTTGGGTCTTCCCTTCTCCTCTCCTCACTTAGTGTTTCTGGAAATCGTATTCCTCTTGGCAAACTCTTATCACTTATACAGTTTTCCTGAATGCCTGTTTCTAAACGTGAGGAGAAACTGGGGTCACGGTCCACGCACCTCTGTTCACAGTAACAAGTGTTTGTTTCAAGGTCCTGGCCAGCCCACCTTCCAGACTGGAGGTCCTTCTTGTCGACTCAATGCTCCTTGCCCATTCATTCAAAATCACCTGTTCCCTGCCTGGTGGTGCTGTGTCTAGTTCTCATGAAGCCCTTCCCTGGCCCATCATATGAGCAACTCCCTGTCACAGAGCATCCTGGCTTTTGCCGGGGCCAGGAACTTACCAGCTTGTTTGAGCAGAAGCAGTCCTCGCTTGGCCTCCTCCAGGGGAAGCACAAAGGATGTCTTGGCTGTGTGGAAGCAGAAGCCGCATTTGTAATTGCACTGACGAGTGAAGTGGTAGTTGACGCTGACAGGGACTGTGGGCTGAGTGCTGTTCTGTTCTTCCTGGGTCTCCTCGGGCTCACCCTGGACCTGTGGCTGCCCCTTTCCAGGACCTAGCCACCCAAGTGCTATTCTCAGCCAGCAGAACAGGATGAGCAGGCCACTCCAGAGGGATCCCAGCTGCTGCTGGAACAGGCTCAGCAGCCGAGCAGCAAGAGCAGTGGGCTCCAGCATCCCCATGGTGACTAGCACTCACCTGTGGCTGTCTATGAGGGCTTATAAACTGTGGACCAGCCACACCCCCTAGCATTCTGTCACGAGGAAGGAAACACCACACCGCCCTTGAGTAAGTCTCAGCTGGAAAGAGTTTCTGTTTTCTGAAAATGAAAGTTGAACCAGAGCCAAGAGCGAAGCTCAGGATGGAAGTCAACACACTGCTTTTCCCTGGAGGCTGCTCCTATGACCTGGGTAAACAGCCTCTGTCCTGATGCTGCTGCAAGGATTCCAGCAACCACCAGATTCTGACAGATGGGTCTTACACACACACACACACACACACACACACACACACACACACACACTATGTGTTAAGCCTCTTGTAAGGAATATCCATGCATACTTAACAATCTTTAAATACTGTTCTGTCATCCCTACCCCACCCCCACCAAACAAACAAACAAAACAAGAGCATCAAAAACTTCTGTTTTTGTTATGTCGCAATTCAGATGTATGCTGACCTTGGCAGTGTCTGGCAACTCTCTGTAAGTGAAGGAAGGAAAAGGGATTCAAGACTGCTATTTAGTCAAAAATGCCAGAGAAATTTGGCAAAGTAAAGCTTGATTCCTTAGTAATTAGTGCTTTCTCTTTTTATATTGTTAAAGGACATACGATGTTAATATTTCTCAAGTGCTTTTCTTTAAAGCTTTGCCATCATGGTACAGCTCCACAATACTGACAGTCACACAGCACAGCATGTGGACAGTGTCTTTCCTCCAGGTGAGCGCCTGCATCTCAGTAATAAGGTCCCTCAGGACAACAGGTTAAACTTGCTTTGCTCAATCTCTGAACTTCTCCTCTTTTGATGTCTCTGTCTTCCCCCTGACATCTTTCTCTGGGAGCTCCATGTTCCTCGAGTTGTTTTCTTTGTGTTGTTTTTAGTTCTTCCAGAAGAAGAGAGAGTAAGGCAGTCCCATGGCTAAAGAGTGCAAGCCAGGAGATTTGGTAGGAGCTGTTGGAGGAACAGTAAGAACCAAGATTAGTCCTCTGCACAGAGGTAGCCAGTGGCAGCTGAGTCTCCAAATGGGCTCCCTAGTAAGGGGAACAGGGGCTGTCTCTTACGTGGACTCAGTGTCTGACTCTTTGATCACCTCCCTCTACCAGGCCACAGAGGAAGACTCTGAAAGACAGTTCTGATGAGATCTGATAGGCTCGGGTTAGATGGAAGGGGAGGAAGTCCTCCACTATCAGTGGACTGGGGAAGGGACATGGGAGGAGATGAGGGAGAGAGGGAGGGTGGTATCGGGAGAGAATGAAGGTGGGGCTACAGCTGGGATACAAACTGAATAAACTGTAATATATATATATATTATGTATATATATATATTTGAATCAAGATTAGGCTTTAAAATTCTTCTATGCATATCCTTTAGTCATCTTTAAAGCCTCTTCAAATGGAACATTTTGTCCATTTAACAGCAGATATACTGTTTCCAGTTCTTCCCCCTCTATCTCGAAGGCACCTACTTTCTTCTGTAAATAGAGTGCAGGTTGAACGTACCTTAGCAAACATCCGGATATGAGAAGTGATTCTTACTTCATGGTGTATAAGATTTGGAGGGTATTTGCAATATAGCATGTGGTGATGGAGTCTTGGGGACATGGCCCAAATATGATGATGACATTCATTTATGACTCATCCACACTTACAGCCCTGATAGTAATTCAAGACACATTTTGAACTGAATTTACACATGTGCAATTTATTTCTGTGTACATTTATAAAGCTATCCACTCTAGATTTGGATTTCCAGGTGTACAAATTTAATAACCAGGTAGGTATTTCTTCTGACTGGGAGTCAGGGAAAGCTTGTTATGACAGCCAGACAGGGAAGCATTTTGGGGGTCCAGCTGGCCAGTATTGGTATTTATTTAAGGTAAGAAGTCGGTATGCCAGAAAGATGACTATAAGCCCACGTTCACTGGATCATTACTCTGGAGCCAAGATATGGATCCATCCAAGGGACCATCTACAAACTGAGAGTAAGAAAATAAAATACAGGGTCTGGGAAGATAACTCTGTTGATAAAGGGCATGACTTTTATTGCCTTAACATTTCTTGAGGAGAACAAACACGTTTCCATCTCAGTTAGGGCAGCCATGAAGGGCCAAAACACAATTCCAGCAAAGGCCAATTTGATGAGTTTATTGGACTTATAGAGCTTGGCGGATATGTTACTTACAGAGAAATACATCTTAGCAAAGTCCCATCCCATCATGGTTGAGGCCCTCATGAAAAATTCATCATGCAGCACCCCCCCCTTTCAGCTCACCTTAAACTTCCCATATGCCCTAGTATTCCCCAAGATCACTAGAGTTAGTGACAGGAAGGAGGAGTCACAGCCGTGTTCCGAGTGAGGGTCTTGTGGCATCTCCCCACTTCTCTGTTACTATACTGCGGATATCTCTAAACTGTCTTCCTGCTTAGTGAACAAGAAGCTGCTCCAAAATGGCAACGAGGTGAAATTGTTCTGCCCTCATGGGGAAAGACCATGCTCTAACACCTTGCAAATGGGGGAACCTGAGTTTCATTTTCAGAACCTATGTAAATAATGACACCTGTAGTATCACTTGCCTGTGATTCCAGCACTGGGGATGTGGAGACAGCCAGATCCTAGGACTTGCTAACAGACACAGCAGGGCTGAAACCCCAGCAAGCTCCAGGTAACCTGCCCGACTTTGCCTTCCCCGTTGCTAGGACGACAGGCACATGCTGGCTTTTTATATGGGCGTTTGAGATCTGCACTCAGGCCTTCATGCTTACTTGGCAGATTCTTTACCAACTGAGCCAGAGCTTCAGATGCCATTTTCACATCTTCTCATGAAGCATAATAGAGTCCTGAACTAGACTGTACTAGATCCCTCTTTTGTCAGATTGTTGTTTATATATGTCCAGTGAAAAGCAAAGGAGTCGTGGTTAAATCTTCGGTGTAGTTCTGTACCCAGATGTTGCTGCTGAGATACTGTGTTCAGAGACTGGGTGATGCTCAGGTACTGTGCCCAATGGCTGGGTGATGCTGAGGTACTGTGCTCAGCACCTGGATGGAGATGCTGTAGAGGTATTATTGTACTCAGGACCTAGGTGATGATGGTGAGGTACAGCACTGTGGACTTCTACTTTTCTCCTTAAACATCTCCTGTTGTCTTTGTGAAGAGGGAGAACACTCATCTTCCAGAGGAGCTGAACACTGTCTGCACTGAGCATAAACCATTATTGTGAATGGAAACAGAAACTTGTGTTTTCTGCACCGGGAAACTGAAAGTAAACTCTGCTACACAACAATTTTGTTTAGTGAAACTGAAAGTAAACTCTGCTACACAACACTTTTGTTTAGTGAATTCAATCATACCAGAGTTATCTGACTCAAGTCCTTGAAAGCCAAGCAAATAAAGACACAACTTGAGAAATGCCTTCTGTGAGGTCACATGCATGTGACTTCAATGTTAAGCCCAACACTCAAGGAAAAGTTTCCCCAGATGACTTGGAATCACATACTTTGGGTTAGATTTTGTTACCTGCCTGAGACCTGAGATTTATTTTGATTGTGTCATTCATTCAAGTATTTGGTCATGCTCTCATCACACCATCTTCCTCATCTTTGATGCATCCTGATTGAGATTGCCCTGAGAGGCTGTCATGTAAAATTTTCATCAAGTGTGAATGAAATATAAGTGTGACAGTCAGCTTCATTGTCAGCTTGACTAGACTTAGTATTACGGTGGAAACATCTGTTTGTTGTGCTTAGGCAGGTGGCTCTTCTCAGCTCCAAACCCAGTTCTTCACCTGCCTGACCTTGTGAGAAGCAAGAAAAACTTCTGGGAAACACAGATAGCTGTGCCTAGCTCATCCATGAGATTGTGATATCAAAAGGGCTGGTGCAGGTTAAGCACTAAGGATGGGTTCGAGGGAGGAATGGCTACTCCCCTCGTGAGCCTGGCACTGTGCTGTAGTTTGCTTGCTGGTTCACACTACAGTTTAGGACACTTGCCTCACTCAGGAGCAAGATCTCAATTGGTGTTTAAACACCGGCCGCACTGCTTCATAACTGACTGTCATAACAGTATTACCCTATCTTTGCTAATAAGACTTCTCTATGCAGGCCAGTTTCTTCCATTCATTCTTCATTCATTGCATTAATTAATTAATTAAATCAAGTATTCAGACATGCTTTCATTTTTTAATCTTCCTTTTCTTTGAAACATATTTAGATTTACCTTTGAACTTGTCATATAAAAATATCAACAAGTGTGGGTGAAATATAAATGTGATAGTTATCTTTATCGCCAGCTTGACTAGTTTAGTATTGCGATGGAAACGTCTCTGTGTTTGTATATCCAGGTGTTTCCAGGGATCTTAACTGAGGAGGGAAGACCTTCTCTGAACGTGAGTAGCACTGTCCTGCGCACTGTAGGCCCAGACTGAAGGACACCGGAAAGGGGGGCTGAGCACCAGCATTCATCTCTATCTGCTTTCTGACTGTGGATACAGTGTGACAGGACCCTCATGCTCCTGCCTCCATGCCTTCACTACCATCTCCCATCACACCCTGAGCCAATAGGAATTCTTTTGCCTTTAAGTTGGTTCAGGTCAGGTACATGACCACAACAATGGGAAAAGTAACTAACAGAAGTGAGGAAGTGACAATCCCTGCTCTCCAGAGCTCACAGTTCAGTCATTATGTGTTTCTGAGGGCAGGCTGGGCCTCTCCTAACTCCTTTCCCAGCAGAGGGCAGAAAAGCAGGGATGTGCAGATTCTGTTTCTATATAATCTGGGGAGTTCATATGGTTGTAGAGGTTAGGTCTTGGGTTCTGATCTTTGCCTTCCACACTTTTGAGACAGGGTCTCCTGTAGCTTCACTGTATATTTCAGGCTAATATATTTCTGGGGAGTACATAGATTTCTGGGGAGTTTCCAATATTGGCCTCCCATCTTCTCTAGGAGTACTGGGATCACTCACACACACACACACACACACACACTCAAGTCTTCACACTTTTCTGGCAAGTGCTTTTTATCCATGAGACCCTCTCCACATGCCAGACTTTCTACAGAACTTATGTAAGCATTTGCCTTAAGCCACAATACAGCCATAAGTACTGACCAATGACCTCCACAGACATCTAATTCTTGTAAATTTGGCTTTTGGCCTAATTTGTAGTCCTATTGTTCACAATGGCTTGAAGGCCAGTCCTCAGAATGATGGCTGAGTTTAGATATTTTTAGGACTCTCCTCAAACTCCCTTTTTATCATTTTCTTCTTCTATATTATAGCAAAGGCTAGTGTATGGCTCCTGTGCCTTCCCAGGAGTGAAAGAGCAGCTCTTATGTACTTGTATCCACTCCAAAGCATGGCTTGCATAAGTCAAAGTGGGAGAGAGGATCTTCTGTGCTGAAGGTGGCTCTGAGTCATCCCTGACATCAGGGAGGCCCATGTTTGCTGTCTTCTCCTTGGGAGTCTTCTACTGAAAACAACACAAACAATCTGTGACAACAGCTAAAGGTCATCAGCATTTTTCCTTAGCTAGGGATTTTACCCCCACCCTGCCTCCGAGTACATTCCTAACCTCTTCCATGCACTCTGGGGCTGTGATGCTTCGCTGGACTGTGGTATCTGTTTACTGAGTTGCAGACGTCATAGTCTTTAGGAAATCTTCACTGAATTGTCACACAGAGAGTGCACCAGTGACCAAAGCACAGCATTCTTCATCTTGATGTCAGCTAGGCCTGACTTAGAGTCACTTAGGAGATGCTCGCCTCTCTCTGATACCATACCTGGTACTTATACACCCACTCAGAGCTTCTTCACCCTTTTTTGTGCTTGACCTAAGATTTGGAGTCTATCGTCATAACTCTTGATGAATCTCTTTTGTTGACTCTCATTTTCTAACCTCTTTGTTTATATTGTGACATCTAAATTTATTAGTATGTAATTATATGACATCTTTTCTCTGTGGGGAGGCCTTGTCATTCTATGGCTCTGTATAGCCATGTGCTCTCACAGCTCTAATTTCTATTGGCTCCTTAATTTCCTACAACTAAATTGACTAGCAAAAGCATAGTGAACTGGAACTTCACATCTGAGTCATTTTCATTTTGGAATGTATTAATTACTACATTTAAATGTCTTAAACTTACCCTTCCTAATATACATATCTGTATATATGTACACATACATAAATAGGTAGCATATATATATATATATATATATATATATATATATATATATGCCTAAAATAATTTCATTCGTTTCAACTTTGTTCTGACACCAGAAAGTGCTGAGTTCAGGCCAATGTTCTGAATGGAAATAGAAAAGCTCCTTTTCAGTCCTTGGGAAACTGAAAGCAAATTCCGTACGTGCTGACAATGATAGCTAATCCTTTGAATACATACATGCCTGCTACTCCTCAATTCATCCACTTGCTCAGCCAAAGGCACTTGAACCATTTTCTCAGTTTCTACTTTCTCATCTCTGTGCCCACATGGGCAAATTGCTACAGGTACAAACCAGCTATTGCGTGTCACCAGACTCTCCTGCTCAGGAATCTTAAGTTGGCACTCAAAAATTTGACTCTTTGTTGCTGAGGGTATGCCCCCCCCCGGCTATTTAGGGATTCCGGTTTAAATAGCATTGTAGTGCACATCTATATGTGATGTCCTGGTTTAATTTCTCTGGCTGTGACAAAACGCTGTGACCAATAGAGCATACGGGATCAAGAGTTTACTTTAGTTTGTGGTCCCAAAGGAATGAGAGTCCATTGTGGCAGGGAAGCAGGAAGTTTAGAGGTCAGACCGTCAAATTCAAGCACAGAGCAGACAAAGAACACAAGGGTTTAAACTCCCAAAGCCCACCTACAGTAACACACTTCTCCCAGCAAGGCTGTACCACCTAAAGCCATTACCATTCCAAGCATCACCAAGTGGGGACCAAGCCTCACATATCTCAGTCTATGGGCAACATTTCTCATTCAAACTACGACATTCCACATTCCACTCCCTGGCTCCAAAGGACCCACTGCCTTATATCACAATGCAAAGCACATTCAGTTAACCTTCAAAAGTTCCCATAGTCTCTCACTGTTGGAAAGTGCAAAGTCTCTTCGGAGACATTAACCGATCTCTTCATTGTGATGTGCTGTGAAATAAAACAAAAGCAAGTTACATACTTCCTGCATCTACTGAGACAAAATATACATCGCCATTCCGAAAGGAAGGGATGAGATCACAGTGAGGAAATACTGGACCAAAGCAAGGCAAACTCCAAATCCTGTAACACCACATCCAGTATCAGAGGGCTTTGGTGGCTCAGCCTTCTCTGCTTTGCTCTCTGCAACATACATCTTTCTCTTCCTCTGGTCCTATCCTCTTTGTGCAGATTTCTTTGGCAGAGGTCTCTTGGCTCTGACATCTTCTACATCTTGGAGTCTCCACTGTAAACTACACTCCACTTTCATAGCTGCCCTGGTGGGGGCTACTGCGCTACTGCTCTCTAAAGGCCTTTATGAAATGGCTTCCCTGCCACACAGTGCATGATCTTGATGGCTCTCTGAAAGTGCATAGGACGAATCCATGATTCCTTCACTGTTTCATCCTACATGTCCTCAAATCCATCATCCTATGGACAACACTGCCAAGCTCTTCTGTCAGGTTGCTAGGAGTCCTTGCCCTCCTGAGCTGCAACAGCAGCAGCTTTTGTTTGAAGTTGTTTTCCGGAAGCTGACAACCACCCCTTACCCAAGTTGGAAGTTTAGCTGGATGGGATACTGCCTTGAGGGTATCAGCTTCCATATTCTATTGTTTTCTGTTGCTGTGATAAAACACCACGACCAAGATAACAGAAGAGTTCATTTTAATTTATGGTTTCAGAGGAAAAAGAATTCATCACGGTTGGGAAGCATGAGAGCAAGCAGCATTTGGTGACACAGGGAATCTAAATGTTCACATCTTTAAATAAAGATGTGAATCCTGAAGCAGAGAGAGTAAATTACAGTGGGACAAGGCCTTGAGCTCTCAAAGCCTACCCACCAGCTGGTATACTAGTTCCAGCAAGGCTGCACCTCCCCCAAACCGGAGGCCAAGTTGTCAAATGCTGCAGGCATTCTCATGGAAACCAACACAGGCAACTTGTGAGGAGAGGATTATCCAAGTGAATGCAAGTCCTGGTTCCTTACCTGCCCAGAGAACCCAAGAGGTGCTGACAGTTTCTGTCCTAGCCCTGCCAAACAGACCCTCTGAAAAGGGTGTCTATGTCAGAGGTTAGAGATGCTGTGTGGACATGCCTTACCAACTTGTTCCAATCACATCACACAAAGGTCTGAGCTGATCTCTACCTCATTCAGCTGAGAGCATCCTGGCACATTGTTACAAGTTCAGTATTCGAGAACTATTCTGCTTTGCTTTCTATCAAAGGTCACTAGCTCACCAACGGTTGACATTCTATAAATCTCTCGATTTTGTAAGACCTTCATGTAAAAGAATTCAAATGTTTCATCTTTATCTTTTTGTTTTCTGTAACTTAAAAAAAATGAAAACCTAATCCCTACATTCCTGGAACTTGATGGCCTGGAGAGGCTGATCTCGTCTCCCTTTTCATTTCCTTTGCCCCCCCTTTTTTAAGTTACCCAATCTGGAAAGGTTGGACTCCAGTCAGTTCGGGAAAAGGCACAGTTGCTACCTTCATTGAAACAAAATCTAAGCAAACTTCTTGCCTTTATGTGCTTCCTAGCCAAGTTTAGGACTCCATGCACACTCTTAAAAACAAAAACCAAATTGTCTTGCAGGGTTATTTTCACTGTTTCTTTGTGTGACACCAAAAGTATGTATTTCTGACAGTTATATCCCAAGAGCTTGATACTCTAGCAGGTGATTCCACAGAGGCCCCTGCAGCTCACCGTTACAGCATGCTTCCTGAACAGCTTACTCCAGGGACCTGCACAGTGCAGGTCCCCTCATCCTGGCCTTACCTCACCTTGTGTTGGGATAAATCCTAAATTGGGAGCATCATTAAGTTACACATCTTTACTGTGAACCAGCAAGATTAAGGTGGTTCTTGAGATTTCTAAAACATAGCCAGCACACACACACACACACACACACACACACACACACACACACACACAGAGAGAGAGAGAGAGAGAGAGGTAAACAAAAATTTGAAAATGCTAGACAGAGAGCAGTGCAGAAGTTTTAATTGGCAATTATTTAATGTGACAACCTGGCCACTCATCCGGGTTTGCAAATGGATTACATGTGAGTAAGGAACACACTGGAGTCGCTCATTTGCAAACTTAAAAATCTGCCCAAAGCGGTTATAGGACTACCTAAATGGTTACTAGGTAAGTTGAGGTCAGGATGTGGCCAGGTACCTGAAGGCCTCAAGAGTCAGGTGCCTGTGTGTCATGAAACTCTCTCTCTCTCTCTCTCTCTCTCTCTCTGTGTGTGTGTGTGTGTGTGTGTGTGTGTTTTCTCTGGAAGGAGAGCCCTTTTGTTCCTCTGTCTCCAGCTCTCCCAGCCCTCACACATCAGAAATAAGTAGCCTAGGAGAAGTGCAAAACTCTTAGAAGCACCTGCCACCATATAACCAAGCCAGACAAAGCTAATTCCTTGGAATTCTCAAGTGCAGGCGTTGCCAGGGGACCACACCGGTGATAGCAACTCGCCAGAGCCCCAGGGCCAAGGGGAATTTTCCTAACCGCCCGTGGCGGTTAAGGCGCTGCTGTGGTAGGTGGAGAAACCCAGGCCTGGGAGTAGCGCGGCCACACCCGAGGTCCGACCAGCAGCTGCCTTCACTTTCGTTTCCCACCGTTCCTGGATCCTTGGTCAACCGCGGTTTCGTTTCCGAGGCGTGGCCGAGGGTGCGGCCCGGGACACTCATGGCCCTAGTGAGCCGTCCTCGAGCCCCACTGTGGCTCGGGCGACTGTCGCGGCGACTGTGCGCGCAACTCCGGGCCTGCGCTGGGACCATGGCTCGGCCGCGCCGCTTCACCGTGGAGCTGCCCGACTGCTCCCTGACTCACTTCATCCTGGGGGACCCGGCGGACCACCCGGACGCACGCCTGACGGCGCTGCTCGGGCCCCCGGGGCGCAGCTACGCGCTGTGTGTGCCCCTGGTTCCGGGCAGAGGCTGCGGACCCCGGGTGCAGGCGGCCCGGATGCACCAGCGCCTGCTGCTGCAGCTGCGCCAGGGCCCTCTGCAACGGTGCCAGCTGAGCAAGCTACTGGGCTACGGTCCGAGCGACAAGGCCGGTGCAATCCAGCATGGCTTCCTGCTGCGCGATCCTAGCGACCACCCGGACACCCGGCGCGCCTTGCTGCAGCTTATGGGCTCGTGCCAGGAGGCGGTGCAACCGCAGTTGGCCGAGTTCCAGGCCGACTCTCAGGGTTTGTTGTGGCAGCGTCTGTGGGAGCTGAGAGGAGACGGGGAGGTGCAGGTGGACTGCGCATGCGTCCTGCAGGCACCGGAGCCTCACCTGCACCCGTTGCTACCAGATCTGCTCAACTCTGTGGTGTTCCAAGACCGGGATGCTGCAAGGGCGGTATTGGAGGAGGTGAGAGTTCTTTCCCTTCAGGGCTGAGTGGAGCTGCAGGCTCTGCCCTTTGATTGGCCAATCAAGTGCTTTACTGTTGGTTTGTTATTCTTATTCACCGGACAGCTGGTATAGGCAAACTGTGCAGGCTCTGTGTTAGACACTGGTGCTGCCTTCAATACTTGCCTGCAGGTTCAGTTTGGAATAGGCTTCTTTAGCACTGTGCAGTAATGTCTTTGCCGAGTAGAGAAAGGTTCTCTGAAGTCCCAGTACTTCTCTGCTCATGCATAGATTTTATTATTATTATTATTGTTGTTATTTATTATTATTATTACTACAGTGCACATCCTTTATTCCCGAAGCCCGGGCAGTGCTTGCCCTGGTTGACGAATGCCCAAAGGAGATCCAGAAAGGCAAGTTCCAGGTCATTGCCATTGAAGGACTGGATGCCACTGGTAAGTGAACACTGCTTTGTAGTTATTGTCAGTGCCGTGGACTGAATGGTTGTAGGAGGCAGTTCCTGAAATGCTAAGTGCCGCACAGAGCCCCTGTGGGTCTCTGTGCCAGGCTGACCCTGGGACACAGAGAGGCGTTAATGGAGCCTTGAGTGGATTCTGCTCTGCTGATGTCTCCAGAGGAGACCCAAGCTGATACCCAAGCTGTATTCTAAGAACAAAGGAGAGCAGATTAGGTGATGAAAACAAGGAAGGTGGAAGCAATGGCCGGGCAGAGGCATGGTACTTTCACCAACAGCTTATGTCTAGGAGCCACAGGCCATTCAGAGGCCCCCTCTAAGAGCAAACTTGGGAAAGGAGGCAGTGGAAGGTTCCTGGGCTGCTCAGGAGGGGTCAGGTAGAATGTGGAGATAACATTATGACTGGAACAGTCACACCCAGGGGAAGGCTGGTGGTGAATGATGCTTCAGGCATCACCTGTGTCACTTGGATGGGCACAGACTACCGTCTTATTCTTTATTTTGGTGGTTGTATTGTCCAGTTTTTTTTTTTTTGTCAACTTGACATAATTCATCTGTGAAGAGGAGATCTCAAAAGAGAAAATACCTTCATGAGATTGGCTTGTGGGAAAGTTGGCGGCATCATTTTGTTGTTGTTGTTGATTAATGACTCACGTTGGAAGGCCCAGTCCACGGTTGGTGTCACCTAGGGTCCTGAGCTGTATAGAAAGTGGGCTCAGCAACCCATGAGGAGTAAGCCAATAAGCAGAATTCCCCTGTTGTCTCTGCTGTAGTTCCTGCCCCCTGAGTTTTGTCTTGAGTTCCTAATCTGACTTGCCTCAATGATGGCGTGTGACCTGGGAGTTGTATTATGAAATAAACTCATTTCTTCCCGATGATGGTTTTGGATGGTGCTTTTTTCACAGCCACAGAAAGCAAACTAGGGCCATAGTGCTGGCGATTGAATCTAGGGATTTCACCCAGGCTAGGTGAGTGCTTTTCCACGGATCCACATTCCTGGCCCCCAGAGTGTTATCTTTAATAATTCCAAAGGCTCTTTCCTCATGGGCATCTGCTGTATTACAACGAGGTGGCACAGAAACATGGTTGTAACTCACTGTCCTGGCTCTGCCTGCAAGTCAGCAGGTGGGAGAAGCTGCAGGCTTGGCATTCAGCAGGCTCTCATCCCTGTGCCAAGACCTAGTGGAGGTTGTTTTTCCGACACAGCTGGAATTTTAACAGCACATGTCCATTTGCCAGTGGGTTTTGTTGCTTGATCCTTTGTTTTATACTTAGAGATAGTTCAGATTCTGTGCAACAAGAGGAAAACAGAAACCTCTAACCTTACACACCTGTGCACACATGTGTGACGTTCAGAAAATGATAACAAAGAGAGGAGGAAAGGGATGGCTTCAGCTGCCACAGCTGCATCATGAGTTCAGCCCCACCAAGGAGGCCACTGTGGATGGCTCCATTACCTTCTCTCTTGCTCAGTGACTCACTGAATACTCTCCTGTAGAACTGGGCATTTGGGACTATTCTGTGTGTTGATGGTGTGCTCATGGCACACACATCAAAATGGTCAGCACTGTTAGGATCTGCCTAACAGTGTTAGGTCCAGAAAAATGACCCAGGACAGTGTGACATCCAGGGCAAAGAGGAGACCAAAAATATACCTATGTGTACGCTAAAGAAGGAACTTGAACTCTGAGATGTTAGACCCAGGATCTCCAAAGGCCAAGCCAAATGCCAAACACAGAGTAGCAAGGAGAGTGTGTGAGGGGTGGGAGGAGGGCAGGGACAGAGCTAAGAGGCCTTTAGAGGAGAGTTGAGCAGAAGTGGAGGGGCTGGAGCAAGTGGAGAGAAGCTGGCCTATTCCATCTGACAGCTTCAGTCCATCATGAGCGGAAGTCAGGGCAGACCTCAAATAGGAATCTAGAAGTAGGAACTGAAGCAGAGGCCATTGACAAAATGGTGCTTACTGGCTTTTCCCCTCAAGGCTTGTTCAGCCCATTTTCTTGTACAATCCATTAATAAATCCATTATTTATTTTTTTTGACTTACAGATTAAAGTGCCTGACACTTCCTTGGTGAAAAGGTTAATGTTACCCTTTGGGAGTGCCACAGGGGCTTCAGCTAAGAAACGTTCTCTTTCACTTATGTCCTGCAGGAAAAACTACAGTGACACAGTCAGTGTCAGAGTCTCTCAATGCTGTTCTCCTACAATCGCCACCACCCTGCATCAGCCAGTGGAGGAAAATCTTTGATGATGAACCTACTATCATTCGAAGAGCATTTTACTCTTTGGGCAATTATCTCGTGGCTTCTGAAATAGCTAAAGAATCAGCCAAGTCTCCTGTTATTGTAGACAGGTGGGTAGCAAGATGCCTTCTCTCTAACATAACTGACTGATTTTCTCTCTCTCTCTCTCTCTCTCTCTCTCTCTCTCTGTGTGTGTGTGTGTGTGTGTCTGCATATATATTCAGATGCTCAATTGTGGACACGTATGATGATTACCAGAGAAATACTGTCTATAAATTAATTACCTACATCACACCCTAACATTCTATATTAATATTTGGAATAGTGCCTTGGGTAGGTTGGAACCAGTCTCTGCAGTTTACTGATAAGGAACACGCATCTTAAAAGATTGGGTCATATCACACAGACATAAGTGACAATTTCTAGGTTAATACAGTGGGCCTACCATGTGGACCCCACTGTGTCCTTTGCCCTCTGGCAAGAAGTTCCAAAACTATTGAAAGTTACAGGATTGAAAGTTGAAACTTGAAGATGACGATGATGTAGGAGTTGCTGTGGTCACCCAGTCTAAGTTGTCAGCCAGCCTTGGAGAATCTTCAAACCTAGGAACAGCTTTCCTTTTCCTGGGAACTTCAGTTTATGTGATAAGTCCTTGGCGTGGGTGATTTTTCTTTGATGTCAGATATGAAGTTTTACATTTATTCACGTTATATTAGAGTAAAGGATCTGATTGCAACAAAGGCTTGGAGGATGGCTTTTCCAACAACACTTTGTGTTTGGGCTGGCTCTCCCCACAAAATGTCCACTAATACCTGATGGGTAACCACATATATATATTATATAGTAATTATCCTATATATAATCACAGGACACCATGAGTAAATGTGTGGCAAGGGTTGAGTCTACCCATTAGGCAGCAAAAACTTTTTCAGGGGGACCACATCCCTCCTGACTGATTCCGAGTTTATTATCAACCACATCTAGGCAAATCTAGACCAAAACTGACTAGCTTTGTGTCTTGTATTTTTACCCTTTCCCTACTTAATATTGGCACTCATATCATTACCCTCAAGGACAAAGCTAAGAATGCAATCTCTTCTGTGTTCTGATATGACTATAGTGACAGGAACCCCTTTTTCTGCTGCTCACCATTGGTTTTAGTGACGGTGGCTGGACTTGATTTGCTGGGACACACACACTTGAGCCCTGTTCTAGTAATATCATACACTTACTCATTTCTGTTTGTAAATCCCACCCATTGATATGTGCGTGTATACATGCATCAGTGGCCATAAGGAGCATTATTTATTGCACACTATTAAATGTCATTCATTAATAGACATAAGGAGCATTCACATTGCATACCTACTATGTGTTGGGCTTGGAGTATTCAGGGATGAGAATACACAGGTGACTAAGAAGTACTTTCCACTCAAGGAATAGATTGTCTGTGGAGGAGACAGGATCTCACACCTGAAACAATACCTGTGGATCCCAGTTAGAAGTTCCACACTGGAGTCTCCTCCAGGATATGGGGACCCAGATGAGGACCATGGATTCTGCATAGGACCTTCATTCATGGGAGGTCCTGTGGAGGCAGAGGAGGTGCCACTATGCTAGTTGAGGGCATTACCCTTCCTAGGAAGCAAGGTGTGAAGATGATGCGTGGTCCAAACTGGAAGGAAGTTCCATGCCTCACAGGGAGACATAACTCTTTCCTGGGGGTGGTGGATAGCTGATGGCATTCGAGAAAGAGTGTGCTGGGTTCTTTTCCATTTACGGCCATGGCTGTCTTTTCTAGGGTTGCCTAGCCTGGCCGGCCTCCTTGCTGCTTAATTACAACTGCGGAGTTGGAGAACTAGACATTTGTGAAGGGGTTAGGGGTCTTCGAGCCTCCATTCCCCGAACATGGATTTCATGAGCAATTTCTTTGGCACAGCGCGGAAACTGCTCAGGCCTGCCGTGTTTCACTAGCTCAGGATATAGTGTTAAACACAAAGGCCCTGCCGAGCAGATCTGTCATCCTTACCTCATTACCACAAAGGAGTTAGCACACTGAAGGGCTAGAAAGTTTCAACATCTGTTCTTATGGCATATAGTAGTTTTAAATGAATATATGATTTCGTGATCAGTTTACCTATTACTGCCATTGTTGACTCTGATTTTTGTATTTTACACATTAAAAACCGATCAAAATGTATTTCATTTGAATGGTGCTGAGAAGCCTTCAGCGGAACCTGCCTAATTTGACCGTCCTCCTCAAATGGTATCTTGACTTCTTCCAAAGATGAGAGCTCATTGCTGCCTTGCTTCCCAGATACTGGCATAGCACAGCTGCCTATGCCATAGCCACTGAGGTGAGCGGAGGCCTGTCCTTCCTACCCCCTGCCCACCATCCTGTGTACCAGTGGCCAGGAGACCTGCTGAAGCCTGACCTGGTCCTGTTGCTCACTGTGAATCCTGAGGAGAGAGCGAGGAGACTGCAGGGCCGGGGCCTGGAGAAGACTAAGGAAGAGGCAGAACTTGAGGCCAATAATGTGTTTCGTCAGAAGTAAGTGTCGCTGGAGTGATGTGAGTAGCAGAAGTCCCTGTAGTCCCTGAGCCAGTATCAGAACTGCTTTAGGATGCACTTCCTATGTTTCAGGTACAAGAGGCAATGCCCCCTAAGCCAGTCCAGCCCCTGTCACTGTGGTTGTTAGCAACTTGAAAACAAAGGGGTTTCTATGCCAGAAATGGTAGGGGCTTGATTAAGACCCAAAGTTTTAGGGCTGGGGACATTACTCCATCAGCTATGTGCTTGCTGTACAAGTTAAGATGACCCGGGTTTGACCTTCAGCATCTGTCGTAGTCAGCATTCTATGGCTGTGAAGAGACACTATAACCATGGCAGCTCTTACAAAGGAAAGCATTTAACTGGGGTGGCTTACAGTTTCAGAGCTTTAGTCCATTATTGTGGGAAGCATGGCAGTATGTAGGCAGATGTGGTGCTGGAGGAGCTGAGAGTTCTACATCCAAATCCATAGGCAGCAGGAAGAGAGAGACCTTGGACCTGGCTTGGGCTTCTGACCCCTCGAATCCCACCTCCAGTGACATGCTTCCTCCAACAAGACTACACCTCCAAATCCTTTTAAGTAGTGCAACTGTCTGGTGACTTAAGCATTAAAATCTATGAGCCAACGGGGGGGGGGATTCTTCTTCAAATCACCACATTCCACTCCCTGCCCCTCCCATATAATAATGCAAAAAATGCATTCAGTACAACTTCAAAAGTCCCTGTCGTCTATCCCAGACTTAGCATTGTTCAAAGTCTTTTCAGAGTCTCATGACCGTCTGTTCATGACACTGACTCTAGAATGATCACTGCAGATACAAACTGGGGCTCAGTTGACTTCTCTGCCATGAGAATGAAGATGGTCCCTCCCAGTTAACTCTGAGTATAAACTGAGAAGAAAGGGCCAGGATACATGATTGGCAGGTAATAGGTTGTCAGTTATTAAGCATTACTGCTGACTCATCTTCAGTAGAACAGACTGCACTGAATCCATTTAGGGGCAGTGCTGGCTGCCAAGGTGTGAGTTAGAAAGGGGCTTTGCTCCAAGATAGAGTGACAAGGTAAGGCAGTTATTTTTTCAGGATGAACTGGGTGGGAGAGGAGACAGACTTCTCCCCTTCTCTCTGTCTCCAGGGTAGAAATGACGTACCAGCGGATGGAGAACCCACGCTGCCACCTGGTCGATGCCAGTGCCTCAAGAGAGAGAGTCCTGCAGACAGTTTTACAGCTGATCCAGAGAGCTGGTCATTAACTGTAGTTCCTCTGCCCAGGTTCCATGTTACACCAGAAGAGAAACTGTGTGATGCCCCTAAACCCAGCACTTGCCAGGTGGCTTCTTATATTCAGGTGGCATGAGCGTATTTAGGAGGGAAAACTGGAGACTGAACATGTTTGCTTTACTTCTGACTGATTGAGCCAGCCACAGCTGCCGATTCATTTCTGCCTGGTCATGTATCATCTCTTTGGGATCTATTTTAACACCAGGAGCTTCTGATCCAGTGGTGAGCTGCTGGAGGTCTTCTTGTACCTGGAATCTGAGGATGTCAGCTGTGGTCCACACTGGTCAATTGTGATGAGCTAGGCTCATTTTCTTTTACCCCAAATCCTATAGCTAAGCATTGTCACAGGTCCTGGCTGTCCAAGGACATTTCCTTGGAGCCATTTATGGCTGGGAACACTTGCAATGAAGCAGCTGATCTTCTTTCCGAGGCACAAGGAACACCATGGACAGTGCCTGGAGTGAGCGCCGCAGAACTGAATGGATGTTGTGCCCCTAAACTGGAAGCACTCCAACCCCCTCTTGTTCTCCTTTGCTCGTCTGTATTCCATTTCTCGCCTCTGAAATCTGGTTCTGAGTGTAATGAGCAGTCTGCACTGAGCAGGAAGTGTTTCATTTACCCAACGCACCAATTTGTTTATATTGCTGTTTACATCATGCATTTCCTCAGTGTAGGAGCTGTGAGTCACTAACCAAAACTGAGGCCAAGGAGCTAAATGCAGCATTTGCTGTGTGTTTTCATTACACAATTTAATTTATCTTAATAAGCACCGTGGATTCCAGAACGAGATTTCATAATAAATCATCTTGCACTTTGAATGTCTCCTGATTGCATGTGGAGTCAGCTTTGAGGGCTCTTTGGATAGAGAGTAGAGTTGTGGAAGAAAAGGCTGGTGGCTCTGTAGACTTGGCTGAGTCATTAAACATTCGTAATGTCAACAGTTTGATCTGAAAGGGGGCCATTGGTGGGCTTTGTAGTATAACTCTCTAACAATATTTACTTGGCAGTTTGAGAAAAGAAAATTGAAAGTTCAGGGCCTTCCTAGGCTATGGTATAAATTTGGAGCTAGCCTGGGAAGTATAGTGAGACTCTGTCTCAAGATGAAAACTAGAAAGAAGACTGAGGTAAAACTCCATAGTAAAACACTGTACTGAATATTCTATTCCTGGGTTCCATTCCCAGTAGCATAAAAATAAAAATGTAAACAGAAAACCAAACACAATTAAGCAATATAGGAGTTAAGTACTCTATGGTCATAAGGAGGTGGCCGGGCCAGATTATTATTGTTTAACATTCTAGTTCCAATGTGGATGGCTTCTCTACATAATTTTGATCCCATGTCTCATTTCTTAAGAATGCATCTCCATGTAAATACATTAAATTACACTAAAGCCTTACCAGATTTTCCCTAACCTTAAATTATAATAAGATATAATATTAATGTCCAAATATTTTTTTTTTACTTTTGGAACTATGTATAACTTATAAATAAATGTGTCTATGTACATGCATATATTGTTGGCCTTTGTGAAACATTTTAAAGCTGACAAATAACATTAGGACTCTTTGTAATGTGGCAGCTACTTCCACAAAGGGTTTTTGATTTAGCGTTTCAGAGATGATTATGGCAGAGGCGAGAAGGAAGTCTTAGTGCCGTCCTCATGAAACCTGCCAGCGAATACGCTTGCTGTGACTTTCTTAACCCAATCTGTCATCATGGCTGAGTGACATATTTGTCTTAACATCTCCTTGCAAGCTCATCTCACCGGAGTCTAAAGGTTCTTATGTATGTGAAAAGGTGGAGAGTGTGAGTTTGTGGCTGAGTGGAATCTGTGACCAATGAACTTTGGTGAGAGAGGGTTTATTTCAAACATTATTTTCCCATTATAAATATCAAATGAATTTTAAAAAGTCCATTCTCTGTACATCTGATAGGTAGATGATTTATATTGTATAGCTCTGTGGCTCCTACCATCGCCATGACGCATGGCTATGCTCGCTGTAAGGCGAGCCGTGTTCTTATTCCGTGATTCTGTCTTTCATTCTCAATAATGGCAGTTCAGCTCAGTTCGTGGCCAGTTCTGAGTTTCTCATTCACCCCTACGTGCCTGGCTGGGTGGGTCTCACAGAAGGCACATGAGGAATGTCAGCTGGATATGATCCCTTTGTCCTTCTGTCCCTGCTGTGTTCAGATAGTAGCTAGGAGGAGATCAAGTAGAGAGGGGAACAGCAGGATAGGTGTAGGAGCGCTGAGTGAAAAGGTCTTTGCTGATTAGCGGCACACAGAACAGATGGAAAGTAATATTCATAGGCTTCATGTACCTAAAGTGTAACACACCATTGTACGTTCCCCCACATTCAAAGGCAACCACTTGTCTACTCTGATGGTTAATATCGGTTGTCAACATGACAGGATCTAGAATTACCTAGGATACAGAAATCTGGCCACATCTGTTGGGGAGTTATTTGAAGCAAGACGATCCACTCTTAACAACGGTGTCATTATTCCTTCCAGTGGGATTCTGGACTGGATGAAAAGGAGAAAATGACCTGAGTAATACCACTCACTGGCCTCCACCTCCTGACCAAAGATACAGTGTGACTTCAATCCATGCCAAAACCATGCCTTCCCACCCAGATGAACTGTATATCTTCCTCTATGAGCCGAGATGAGTCTCTTCTTTGTTAAGTTGCTCTTGTCAGGTATTTTTGCCACAACAATGGGAAAAGTAACCCAGACCCTGTAAACAGTAGCACATGGATGATTTACATTGTATAGCTCACAGCCTACCTCTAGAAATGATTGTATATCTTGAAATTTCTTGAGGCTATCTGAGCCTTAGAACATGACCTGGCTGGTGGGGTGTGACACCAGATAACCAACAGGTATTGATAATACCACCAGAACTATTATTTTTATGGAGACATGCTTGGCTCCATACTGCTTCTCTGTCTTCTGCAGGTTGGAGGATGGTAAGAACTGGAAGATATGCTTTAGTTTTGTTTTTCTGGACAATTCTTAAAATGTGGGAAACAGAAAAGTTTTCATTGTGAGGGCGGGGCAAGATGGCAGCGCCGGGAGGACTCTCATTCTGAGGAGCAGCAGAGCAGGATTGGCACAGTGACCAGCAATCAGAACTCGTGGCCATAAAACACAAGTGGTTGTGTTTCTCAGGTGAGAGGATACCCCACGGTGGGGGATTCAATCAGCTTTAACTCACCCGGCTAAACCGCGGAAGAGATCCGGTTCCGCCAGGCGCTTAGTCGCCAGCCCAGAGCTACCCGCCAGCGTGATTTGGTCACGGGCCCAGACTGAACTGTGGGCCCAAACATCATAGACTGGATTTCCCAGTCGAGAGATAACCCCACGGAGCAGGAAACAATTGGGACCGACCTCAGGTTACCCAGACATCCCCTGGAAAAGACTCGGGTTCTGCGGGTGCCCCAGGAGCCAGCCCGGACCCAGAGCCGGGACAAAGGCGCCTGCACGGAGCCCTGTCTGCGCGTGTGATTCGCCGCCTCAGATAGAACTGTGGGCACCAGGGCACCAGGGCACCAGACTGCGTGTCTCTGGCAGGAGGAAACCCCCAGCAGAGGGGGTCAGCAGCTCTAACGCTTAGGACACCCAGCACCAAAACAATTCCTGGACTCACGCAGACTCTAGTGCAGGCAGAAGCGCTGTGCTCTGCCGCCATTGTTGAGTTCCCCTGGGGCACTGGGACACACAGCTGCATCCTCGGACCTGCAGGAGCCGAAGAGCCGTTACAGCAGCCCTCAGATACTGTGCCAGGGATCAGCCAGTTGTCCCTGGCTGGACTGCCAAAACTGTGGGAATCCCTGATCCTTCAGGGGGGCTGCACCCGCAGCGTCTGGACCAGAGCGGTGCCTACAGCCGCCATCCCAGACAGGGACACACAGCTTCTGGTCCAGAGTGAGGCACCCAGCCTCCAGACCAGAGCAGTGCCCCCAGGCGCCAACTCAACCTAGGTGCACATTCTCCAGGTCCAGAGCAGAGCAATCAGCCTTTGGCCCAGAGACTTGCTGAGTGCACCTCCCACTTTCTCAGACAGAACTGTGCGCCCCAGGATAACAGACTGAGTTTCCCTGTTGGGAGAAAACCCCCCAGCTAGGGAATCAGCAGTCTCTTCAAGAGGACTGTACATGGAAATTTAGTGAGCAGCAGCACACTAAATTTATAACAAGAAACCCAGCAGTGGGGCAGCTGTCTTGAGAAATTTTATGGGTAAGAGGAGATCCCCCCCCTGCCTAACATAGACCACAGCTACTACTCAGGGCTATAAACCTGAGGTGAGCAGTGGCAAATCCGGAGAAACACTGGCCATACAGTGACCATAACCAAAAAGCAGAGAAGGACTCCTTCAGGAAAAATCATCTTCCGGCCAAGGGGATACTTCCTACCTCAGTACTCCAGGAAGCACAGAAACTAACAGCCAACACCTAAATCAGCCCAATGGGTAGAGGTCAGCGTAAAGGCTCAACCAACAAAAGACAGAGCAATATGGCATCTCCAGAACCCAGCCATCCAGGGGCAAACAGCCCTGAACAATGCAGCATAATAGAAAATAAAGAAGATGACCTTACATCTATGTTGATGAAGAGAATAATAGAGGAAACAGATAAAATACGTAAAGAATTAGAGGAAGATAAAACCAAACAGATCATGGCTATCCGTAAAGAAATGGAGGAAGATAAAGACAAGCAGATTAGGGCCATCCGTGAAGAAATACAGGAAGATGCAGCCAAACAGCTTGTGGCCTTCAGAGAAGAAATAATTAAATCACTGAAAGAAATCAAAGAGACAGAGTTGAAGGAACTAAAAGAAAAAGAGGAAAATACAAGCAGACAGGTGAAGGAAGTAAACAAAACAACTCAAGACCTGAAGATAGAACTAGAAAAATTAAAGAAAACACAAATGGAGGAAATAAGTGAGAGGAAGAATTTAGGGAAGAAAACAGGAACTACAGAGGTAAGCATAACCAACAGAATACAAGAAATGGAAGAAAGAATCTCAGGTGTAGAAGATACAATGGAAGAAATCGATGTATCTGTCAAAGAAAATGTTAAATCCAAAAAATTCCTGACACAGACCGTCCAAGAAATCCAAGACAATATGAAAAGACAAAACCTAAGAATAATAGGAATAGAGGAAAAAGAAGACTCCCTTCTCCAAGGCCCAGAAAATATTTTCAACAAAATCATTGAAGAAAATTTCCCCAAGTTAAAGGAGAAGCCAATAAGGATACATGAGGCCTACAGAACACCCAACAAATTTGACCAGAAAAGAAAATCCTCCCACCACATAATAATCAAAACAGTAAGTATACAGAACAAAGAAAAAATACTAAAAGCTGCAAGGGAAAAAGACCAAGTAACATATAACAGCAAACCCATTAGAATCACACCTGACTTTTCAACAGAAACTATGAAATCCAGAAGGGCCTGGACAGATATCATGCAGACCCTAAGAGAACACAGACGTCAACCCAGGCTACTATACCCTGCAAAACTCTCAGTCCTCATAGACGGAGAAAACAAGATATTCAATGACAAAAACAAATTTCAACAATACCTACACACAAATCCAGCATTACAGAAGATACTGGAAGGGAAAATACAACCCAAGAAAATTAGCTTCTGTCAAGAAAACAAAGGAAATAATTGACCTTACTACAGCAAAACAAAAAGCAACCAAGCACACAACCATATGAACACAACCAACATCAAAATCAAAGGATCTAACAGCCACTGGTCATTAATCTCTCTCAACATCAATGGACTCAACTCTCCAGTAAAAAGACACAGATTAACAGAATGGATACGTAAACAAAACCCAGCAATCTGTTGCATACAAGAAACTCACCTAAGACACAAAGATAGACATTACCTGAGAGTAAAAGGTTGGAAGACAACTCTCCAAGCAAATGGACCCAAGAAACAAGCAGGAGTAGCCATTCTAATATCTGATAAAATAGACTTTCAACCAAAATTAATAAAAAGAGATGAGGAAGGACACTTCATACTCATCAAGGGAAAATTCCACCAGGAAGACATCACAATCCTGAACATCTATGCCCCAAATACAAGGGCACCCACATTTGTAAAAGAAACATTGATAAAATTTAAACCACATATAGATCCCAACACATTAATAGTGGGAGACTTCAACACCCCACTCTCAACAAAGGACAGGTCAACAAAACAGAAATTAAACAAAGAAACAATATCTCTGACAGAGGTCATGAATCAAATGGACCTCACAGACATCTACAGAACTTTACACCCAAACACAAAAGAATTTACCTTCTTCTCAGAACCTCATGGAACCTTCTCCAAAATAGACCATATAGTTGGTCACAAAGCAACCCTCAACAGATACAAGAAGACTGAAATAATCCCTTGTATCCTGTCTGATCACCATGGAATAAAGCTGGACTTCAACAACAACAGAAATAGCAAAAAGCCTACACACTCATGGAAACT